GGTGGTGCCCTGAGGTCACAGGGCTGTGGTGGGGGTTGAGATGTGTGGTTGTGGAGCTGCAAGGGGGGTGGGGGAAGGGGAGGAAAGCAAGGGACTAGGGGGCAAGGAGCGCAGGGCTTGGACACTATCACCAAATGGTGGGGGCGGGGTTTGGGCGCTGCTAGGGGTTTATGCAGCAGCACCCTGTGTGTTAAGGGTCACACAGGTGTGGGTTGCAGGGGGGTCACACAGTGTCGGGTAGTCTTCATTCCTATTGGTCTCACAGTCTTCGCTCCTCTGGAGTTCCGTGGTAGGTGGCTCGCTGTTGTTCTTCCTGGGTCTCTTCCAGGTCCCTCTCGCGGTGGAACCCCGTCTGGTGGCGGCGTTCCCCCGTCTGGCGGCAGCGTTCTCCCGTTTGGGGGCCTCGCTCTCGCGCGGCGTCCTCGCTCTCGCGCGGCGTCCTCGCTCTCGCGCGGCGTCCTCGCTCTCGCGCGGCGTCCTCGCTCTCTAGTCAATTTCAATTTAATAAAGTGATGATATTAGAGATAGAACTGGTTGTTGAGCAAGTGATTCTAAAGAGAGAGTCCAAACAATGACAACAGTGACAAATATAGGCCTAGTTTTGTTGTGGTGGGTCATCAATTAATTTAATAAAGGATGAAACCCTCTTTTAGAATATTTGATTTGTGAAATAAATATGCTCTTTCTTTTGCCATAATTTAAACAGACTTACGCAGTAGGCAGGGAGCTCTGCTGGCCTAGTGGATAAAGAGTTGCACTGCCAACCGTAAAGCTTTAGAATCCACCAGCTGCTCTATGGAGAAAGAGGAGCAGTCTCCTCCTGTGTGATTTCCAGCCCCTGAGAACACACTGGAGGATCAGCTCTGAATTGGTTCTGACTCAGTGCCACAAAACAGCAACAATAACATACATAACCAAGGAGCTCTGATTGTACCGTGGTTAAAGTAGTTGACTGCTATCCCAAAGGTCCATGATTCAAACCCAACAGCTGTTCTGAGAAAGATGATGTTCTGCTTTCAGGAAGACCATGCTCTTGGAAATCCTGTAGCATTGCTGCGAGTCAGAATTTATGGAAATGGGCTGGTTTTTGTGTTGTTGTTGTTTTTTTTTCCTCACTACTAGGAATAAAGGAAACTAGCAAACCATATTGGAGATTTAAGAAAAAATATAAACCACAAGTTAACTTGTAGTTTTTTTCACATAGAATGTTGACTAAAATCCACAGAGCGTTGAAATATTAAACTTTGGAAAACAGCATCTTTTCTGTGAACCATTCGTCTTTCAGCCATTGCTGAGATGCCAGAAGATTGCTCCCTTTCATCGTCTTCATCGTCATTGGTACTTTCATGGATTAGTCACCAGGCAGGAGAGCAAGTCACCCAGTAGACTTATCTCTGGAAATAGGTTTAGGAGACAATAAGGTTTTTCTCTTAATATAGAAGATTCTTATTCTTGCCTATGAAACAAGTGGTGACATGGAGCCAACAGCTTTCTCTCAAAGGTGCAGGTAAGGGTTTTCTAGCCAGCGTAGGACACCTCCCTTGGGCTTATTAAAATATCAGCTTCACAGTAAAACTCTGTGGACTGGTTACACAGGATGCTAGGACTGTCTTTTCAGGGAGCTCTGTCATCATCTGCTGCTGTCAAGTTTGATTTTATATTAGTTGTCACTTGTTAGAGATGCAGCATGCCAGTTTTGTTCTGCTCTGTTGTTCTTACAATCGAAATTGAACTGGGTATTTGATTAGAACCTGTGTGTGGAGCTGATCACTGACCAGCCTCGTGCTGGACCTGCTGTATATATGCTGTCGGCTGCAGAGCGGGTGTAATCATGACACGGGTTACAAATTACAAGGGTGTCTTTTTTTTTATCGGCTGTTGATACTTCAGAGTCCTTTTTATAAATGTTTTATGAGCTAAGATTTGATTCCTGCTCTGTCTGTGTGCTTTAATAATTGATGCTACATCCAGATCTTGAAGGCAGTTTATTTAAAAAGAAGAAAACTGACACCTACGAATAACCTTTAAAAACATTATTGTTTCTTTATAATTTCATTCTGTTTACTTGAACAATTTACTTGTTCTTCTTACACCACAAATGCACCAATGAAGAGCAAGCTAAAGTATCTGCTTACATATATTTTAAAGTTATTGTTTTTCCTCCTTTTGCAAAAATTTGAAGAGCTTCATTTAAGGGTATCTTTTAGTGAAAGGTACTGATGCCTATTAAGTTATCATTGTCATTTCTTAAGAATTTAGAGGTATAGCTTATCTAGGATTGTTAGCTGCGTTTATGGAGTTCTTCTTACACCACAAATGCACCATCTGGATTTGTATATTTAAGTGAGCAGAGGAAGGCTAGGAAAATTTTTCCTGAAATAAATAAAAATATTTTAAAATCGTGTATTAGTTTGAGATTTCTTGTAGAAAGTAGTTGGTATGACTTAGATGTTATATGATATTTCGAGGTGAGTTGAAATGAAACTTGAGTCACTTTTCTTTCCTTCCTTCCTTCCTCTGTTGGGGGCATCTTCTCACGTGGTTTCTGTTGTAAGCTTGCTGCACGTTGGCTAATCAGTAGATCCACAGATTTCCAGAAGGAAAGCATTCTTGGCAGGTCTGGGTATGTAGTACAGTATATAAATGTAGTTTGATGGCAATGTTATAATAGATTATTTTCTTTTCTTTTATCAGGCTATGGGATGATGGAATTATTGATCCAGCAGATACCAGACTGGTCCTGGGCCTCAGTCTTAGTGCAGCCCTGAATGCTCCAATCCAGAAGACTGACTTTGGCACTTTTAGGATGTAACTGGAATGATGAATTTTCCATTGGAAGTATATTAAAAGCACATTGTTGTTGTTTGCTGTCGAATTGGAAGCAACTTATCAATAACTTTAAAATTTTAAGACTTTTTAAACATATGATAAAATATGGTGTGTTTTTTTTTTTTTTAACTTGGTGCATTGTACTTTTCTACTTTAAAAAAAATCAGTGGAATATTTCTTTGCTAAACAACAATTACTACTCCTTTTTTACATTTTCCTTGAGAAATATCTCTGTGGCTTATTTTATCACCCATGATGCAGGAATGTATAGTTCACAATTATCTTTTGTAACCTACAAGTAGTATGAAAAGCTGCATTAATATAAATTACAGGTGTTATTGATATTTTAATGTAAAGTTGTATTTCTACTGAAATGAGTGCTTTATTGACTACATGTGGTAATATTTGACATACTTATTTTAACAAAGGCATCTATTACTTTATCTCCAGCCGCCATCAAACTTCTCATAATGTTCAGACTTCTCTGCACTCTGAGCTCTATCTTCGAGCCTATTCTCATGCCATTTTTCCTCTTTCTTACATCCGCTGCCAGTAATGCTCTCTAGAGTCCCCATTGACCTCCATGCTGCTGAAACCAGTGTATTCTTTTCTACTCTCTCATCTGATGTTCACTCCCTGTAGCATTCTAATCATTTGAGTGCTTCATCTTTGAAATGTTCTTCTTATCTTGGGGATGTAACATGTCAAATTTTTCACCAATCTCTTTGGCCATTCTGTATTGAGTTCTTTTATACTTCTCTCTTCTTCTACTGATTCTCTTCATATATTTTGGTTTGTGTTTTTATTCATAATACATGAGTAGGTTCTTTAAACTCCAAATACCTGTCATCTTCAGGTCACACATATTTAAGTTACAAATGAAGTGCTTGGAACCATCCTTTTTTCCCTAACACATCTTCTGTTTATAATACAGAAAGTGTTGGAGTGTGTGCTCTGCTGGTGTTGACCTTTTCATACCAACCCCCAGAGACAAGGACACATGAATGATAAAGGGCAGTAATGAAAACTTTCAAAAAGGAAAAAAAAACACTATTAGCCTTACATTAGAGCCAATTTCCAATGAAGCCGTGGGATTGGAACCCCACCCTCTGTCAGGACCACCTGTGTTAACAGGAGCATCTCCTCATTCTTAAATGTGTGTGTTTCACCTGATGTATTCTCCCTGGACTGTTTGAGTCCCATTTGTGACAACTCATTGACAGTTCTCTGACCTTCAGACCTGCGTGTCCACATGTCTTACTGGAACCTCCAGCAGGATCATCGAGACTCATTGATTTGATTTCTTTATCATGATTGTGATTCCTGTTAGAGAATGAATAGGTTCCAGTTGAGATTGCAAACATTCAGAATTAATTCATTTATCAGGACCCCTTCTTCTCAGGTGTACTTTCAGGCAGGCCTCTCTGACCCTGGCCCCTGTGGGGGTCTGGGCCTTGCCACATGCTCAGACAAGTGTTACAAAGCTCATTTCATTCTGCCAATTATAGACCTTCCCACTCTGTGCCAGTAAGCCTCGGCCACCATGGCGCTTCCCTCCAACCTGCTCCATGGGGCACGGGTCAACAAGCTCCTCCGTCTCACACAGGCCTGGTGCTGCACCTCTGCTGTTGCCTTGTCTCCAAGACTCATGGACTTTTACCTCTTCACTATCTCACTTCTCTTCATGTCTTACCTCTGTAGGACTTAGAAGTCATTTGCTTGCCTCTAGTCTTCCTTGTCCCAGTGTGTTTACCACGCTGCAGTTAGAATCACCGTTCTAAGGTGTACGTGCAGTCATATATATATGCGGTCATGCTGTTGTTGTTGAGTCAACTACATCTCCTAGTGACCCTTTGAACAACAGAGTAGAATGTTGCCTGGCCTGTGTTGTCCCCACTCCTTCCACCACTCTTGAGCCTATTGTTACAGTCACTGTGTCAGTTAATCTTGTCGAGGGTGATCTCTCTCTGTGATTCTACCTTTCCCAGCATGGTGTCTTTTCCCAACACCTGGCCCCTCCTGACAACATGCCCGATGTGGGAGACAGGTTTCACCATCCTTGCCTGTAAGAAGCACCCCGGTTGCTCTTCCTACAAGACAGACTTGTTTGTTCTAACCCTGGGGTAGCCAGTACTCTTCTCTTAACACCGCAGTTCAAAGACATCAGTTCTTCCTTGGTCTTCCTTGTCCAACAGTCAGATGCAGATGCATACAGAGCAGTTGAAAATCCCATGTCCTGGATCAGGTGCATCTTGGTATTTGTACTGACACACTTGCACTTTGGAGAGGTACCTGGCAACAGATTTTTCCTACGTAACACGTCATGTTGCATGCACCCTTCTGTAAATTCTTTGCGTGGTTTCCTGCTGCCTTCTGGGATCTTGATTGTCATCTCCGCATTCTCACCTTGACTGTCTTTTCACTTAGTCCTTCACCTCGTCCAGACATTTTCCGGCTCCTTGAACCTACCCCACCCTCTCTCTTGGGGTCTCTCAGGCTCCCTTTACTTGACTGGTTCTACATTCTCCTCCTCTTCTGAATAAGTACTTACCCTTCTATTCAAGCACTCCATCTGCTGAATTTAAGAACCTCTTTGGCTCCCCTAGATTGAGTTAGATGTTTGACTGTATATTCTTATGAGGTACCGTTCAGTTCCTTTGTCACAAACTCATCACCTTACAGTATTTCTGTGATATCACCACCTGCTTTGATGTACGCTCTGGGAGGATAAGGCATCTCCTGTGCACCATGTATTTTAAAACCTGGCACTTTGTAAGTGCTCGGACATTTGTTGAATGAAAAAAAAAATAATTTGAAATTGATCTAAGACAATGTAATTTTTAATTTAATACATCCTTCTCAGGTTTTTCCAATAAAATTAGTATTTTAAATGTTTGTGTGTGGTACTCAGTTTTGTGAAAAAGTCACTGTGGTTTTTTGAGGGTTCGGAGATAGGGGATTACGATTGAGAGACACGTTGCATTTTCTCAAGGAACATATTAAGTATTTTAAAAAAGCAATTTGCATTAAACATTTTCAGCTAAAATTTGCAACCATGTTAGAACAGAAAGTGATTTTCTTTATCCAGACTAGATGTTACTCTTATTAAGAACCAGTGAAAAATCACGGGTTCGTGGCTATTTTAGTAGTTTTGCTCTTTGTGAGATCTCAGTGACGCAGTGTTGTTGTTTTGTGCTGTCAACTAGGACCTTGAGTCCATTCTCCCACTCACTGTGTCAGTCTGTCTACCTTGCTGCATTCCCAGCCCCGTAATAAATCCCTACAGGAGCAGATACACCCTCTTCACCATCCGAGCAGCTGGGAGGGTCAGACTGCCATCCTTATGGTTAGCAGCCAAGGCCTTTAACCACTAGACCATCAGGGCTCCTGGAAGACCTGTCATCACTAAAACCACATTTAAATCACTTTCAGTCATTTTGTATAGCTCATATAAGAGCGAACCTAGTTGTTTTACCAAAGTAGATCAATCTTTTTGTTTTAACATGAGTGATTTCAACTTTTACAAACGCACAGCTTTGTTGTTAGGTGCTGTTAGGTGGATTCTTAGGTTGATGCTGACTCACAGGGACCCTGGGTACGACAGAGAGAAGGTTTATCCTCTCCCGCATCATCTTCCCAGTGTCTGCTGTGCTCACCTGCACTGTGTCAGTCAGTCCATCTCCTGGACGACCCAGCATAATGACCTCCACGGACTGACCCCTCCTACTAACACACCCAGAGTGTATGAGAGGAAGTCTTACCATTCTTGCCTCTTTTTTTTTTTTTTTAATTTATTTTGGTTTGCTTAGCACACTGCACTTCTTCCAAGACCAGTCAGTTCATTGGAGCCAGTTTGCTGGCAGTGGGGAAGAGATCTTGGTGAGGATCTTTCAAGACTGTTAAAAAAAATTGTCAGCAGTTCATTCTGAATGCTGGTACTTTGCATTTATTCAGATGTTTATAAACAGTTGGGAAGTGCTTGTCTTTCTTTTGCAAAGAAATCACAACTACTTTGCTAATTAGGTATGGAAATGGCTGATCCATTTTATCTTTTTGCTTTTTCTTGCTTTTAATGTAGCCTGTCTTTTAATTTTTTTTTTCTTTGTCATGAGTGATACGGAAAATGTAACCACAGGATCAGGCAGCTGGATGGCTCTTGTGCTTAAATCCTGGACTATTAACAGCACTTTGAACCGACTCAGAGGTACTTCAAAAGACAAGGCTGGAATGCTGCCTTGGAAACGCTGTGAAGCAGTGTTACTGTACACACACTGGGTGCCACGAGTCTGATTCAACTCCATGGCAACAAAACCACCCTCACCATAGACAGGATCGAGTTACTGCAACTGAGTGCTATTAACAGAGGAACAATTAACTCATATACATATAGATCAGAACTGCAAATCCATACTAGAATCGATTTAGCATCCTAAGAATTGCTTTCTGGAAAGAGCTCTTGGAAGGAATTTGAATGTCTTTGCAGGCTGTCTATAGTGTAATTCGTCAGTGTTAGACTAATTAGACTATAATGATGTTTTCGTGTGCTGTTAAGTGGACTAAGTAATGATGTTATGAACAATAGACAGGAACCTTGCCCTGTGCTTTGCTATCCCACAATCTCTGATCTTCCCAAGCCTGCTGGTACAGTCACCATGCTAATCTATCTTGTTGAGGGTTTTCCTTTCTTTCACTGACCCTCCATCTTTCTTAGCATGATGCCCCTTTCCTAAGAAGAAGCTGAGCTGCAATCCTGAAGGCACGTGGTTCGAGGCCGCCAGTTAGTTGCTCTGCAGGAGGGTGGGCTGTCTCCTCCCATGTGACTGTCTCTGAAAACCCTCCAGAGGGTCAGCCATGAGTCCGTTCTGAATCAGTTCTGATTCTACAGTACACAACAACAACAGCCCCTTCTAACAGCATGCCCAAAGTATGTGAGACGAAGTTTTACCACCTTTAAGGAGTACTGAGTTACATTTCCTAAAAGACAATCTTGTTTGTTCTTTTGCAGTCCATGGGGTATTCAGTACTTTCC